TTCTCGGAGTACAGATCCCAGCCGGTGCTGAGGTCCATACTCGCCGAGGTCGCGAAGCCCCTCTCACGCAGCTCTTTACAAACCCGGGGAGGTGAGAAAAGCTCCATAGCCAGAGTGTGCCCCTCCTTCCTCAACCACTGCTGAATTCGCCTCTTTCGAGCCTTGCGTCCCTGCTCTCGTCCAGAGCCGCCCAGCAGCTTTCCGGTGGCTTCACGAACCTCCCTCGGAACTGAACAACCCCGACTGAGGTCATGGTCGACGTTAGGATCGACTGGGACGTGGAAGGACCCTAGAGACAGAAGACCCTGAAAGGAGTTGAACCCCTCCGGTCCGGTCCAGGCCTCGATGGTCAGGTGGTCGCTAGCCGTGTTGCTCAGGATGGTCTGTAACTGGGCTGGCGCGAGGTCTGGAGTGAGGGAGTCAAGAATGGGGATGCCCTCATCTAGAAACTTCAAACGAGCGTACCTGCTCACTCTATCCCGAAAAGCTCGACCCCCGCTGTCTCGGTCGGACCCCTGAGTCCCAGGCTCCGTTCCCCGGACCAGGTGTATCGCAGCATCAGCCAGCACTCCGACCTTCTCGCTTTCTTCCAGGATCGATCGAGTCCAACCGCGATCACTCGAGATCTGATCGAGATCGACCGAACACCCTTTACTGTCGTCCCACCAGGCGGCGTGAGACGCAAAACGGAAGTTGAGATGGGCGGACCTACTGGCGGCCAGAGCCGACCTCCACACCAGATTTCTGCCCTGCTCCCCGGTCCCGTTGGTCCTCCTGAGGGTCCCCCTCCCCACTGGTTTCAGGTTTCCCCCGAGTCCTTCCCCCACCTCTAGAGCGCCTGTGGAGGCGGTAGCGTCCGGCGAACTCAGCGACCGCGGCTCGAGCTGCTGCTGCTGCTCGCCAGCATCTTCACGGCCTCCGCCATCTGCTGCAGCACCTGGTTGTTCTCCCGCAGCGCACGGGCGATCTCCGCGTTCTCCACCGTCTTCGAGGCCTCCTCCACCGTCTCGAGCTCCGGCTTCTTCTTCTTGAGAACCTCCTTGATGTAGACCAGCTCCGGCTTGATCGTCAGCGGCGTGGACTCCACCCTCGCCTGGTTGCGGTCCCCCTGCTCGTTGCGCCGCTGCTGCGCACGATTCAGGACGTCGATCTGCTCCGTCCGGCTGCGGCGCTCGATCCACAGCCTTGACTTGCACTTGCGGCAGTGCTCGTACTTCGCGTACTGGTTGGCCCCCTTCAGCCTCGCCCACTGCAGATGGTCGCACTCCAAGGCTGCTTGTGGTACCATCTCGCCCACGAGGAGGTTGGCCGCCATCATGGCCATCCTGGCCCCCATCGTGTACACCAGGCGTCCGACCACGCGATGCCAAGCCGCCAGAGTAGGGCTCCTCTTGACCTGGCCCGCGGTCTCCTTCGTGTCCTGCTCCTGGTCGCTCTCGTCCGTCATCATGCCCACCGCCTCCCACTCCGGTGAACTCTCCAGGTGAGAGCTGGGTCCGCTGGGCTCCTGCGAGCCCGCCTTGTTCCTCTTCGCCTTGCTGATCGCCCTCTGGCGCACCTGGTGTGCGCGGACCTCCTTCGCGAATGACGACCCCTTGACGTGCTGGATCGCCATCTTCTTGACCGGCGCCGATCGCGTCGGGCTTCCCTCCTGCACTGACGATGCCTCCGCTGGCCCCGCTGAGCCCGACGATGCCATCGCTTGAATCGAACTTGAATGAGTCGTGAGGCGGCCCGCAGGCCTCGGTAGCCACCTGACTGCTGAACCCGCGGGCAGCGTTGTTGGTCTCGAGCACGAAGGCTGCGGACAAGTCTGTTCCCATCGCCTCTTCCGGGTGGACCCCGGACGGGGCTCTCTCTTCTTCGCCAGTTTCTGGAGCAGCCTCCTCGACCTCCTCCGCCTCCTGATCTGCCTCCTCGATCTCCTCCGCCGCCTGCCTCTCTAGCTCTGTCCTCCTGGCTCGCCCGGGAGATGCTTCCTGAGAGACCTGGCCCGTCCCCTGGACCCGGGCCCCGACCCCCAGGACGTCGTCCCCAGGCCTCCCCGGGACCGCCGAGCCCCAGACCGACGTCGATCGGCCGAGACCTCTAAAAAACCGACACAACCTACAAATCTTACAGCTCTTGAGGGGGTGGAGGTGAGCGAGGAGCGGAAAGGGGCTGTATATGCACAAAAATCCTTGGCCTCGAGACCGGGCCAGTCCTCGGCAGCCGACGCGTCCACCTCAAAACGGTGAGGGGGAAGACTGCCGAGCAGGCTCATGATGCGGTGCCCCGAGCTCTCACGGTGCATCGGCAGCGTCACGTCGTCCAGCTGGATGCGGTCGCGCTCCAGGTCGATCTTTGCTCCCACGGACTCCAGCCACTTCACCGGCAGCAGCAGGGGAACCTCGCCGGAGATGATCTTGAACTGGATCAGCACGCACTTGTTCGGGATCGCGGTGATCGGGATGAGGGCTTCCCCGATGATGTCCGCACTGCCTCCGACTCCGCGGGCCTTCTTCGGCTGCGGACTCCGCCTGATGGGAATGCGCCATCCCTGCTTAGCATAGTCATTCACGAGGCGCTCGAGCCGCTTGTCACCCACCAGCGCCTGGCCAGCAGCCGTATCGACCATGCCGGAGGGCTCCACGTCCTCATGTAGCAGCCACGAGTCGGGGATCCCCCTCATCGAGCCGCACAGCCTCTGAATCACCTCTGGCCCGAGGGTCAACCACGTCGCTGCCGAGGGACCGTCCGTCGTCACGTACATCGTTCGGCCTCCTGGCTTGGCCTCGGCCTTGGGCTTGGGCCGGTATGCATTCGTACATTCACGTCTCCAGTGTCCGCGTTGTCCACAGTTCGCGCAGCGAGTGCGCGCCTTGAGCTTCTCGATGCTCAGCTTCTGCTTTCCAGCTCCTTCTCGAGGAGCTGGCTTCTTCCCGGCCCGCTTGCTGTCGAAGAACTCCCGGTCCCTCGCCATCGCTCGCTTCAGGTCTTTCGCCTCGGCCCACCGCCTCGGACGACCTTCCTTCTCGCGCTTCTCGTCCAGCACGGCCGCGACGACGCTCGCCAGCTGCTCCTCGTCGAGGTCCTGGGACTCCACCGCCGCGTACACCGCCTCGGCGTCGACGATGTCCAGGATGGAGTCCTCCCAAAACTCGACGAGCACGAGGTCGGACATGTCGTCGTCCTCGCCGTAGTCGTCCTCCTCGTCGGCCGCCGCGAAGGTCTTGCCCTGCCTCCGAGTGGCGTCTGGCTTGCGTCGCACGTCCATCCTCATGAGAGCCTTCTTCACCGAGTCCAGATCCTCGCGGCCCTGTGAGATGGACAACAAGTTTATCATGTTCTGTTCGCTTAGCCGAGCTCCTGCCTTCAGTTGCTCGACCTGAACCCTCTCTGGGAGGTCCAGGCCGAACTTGCGTGCTTCTCGCACCTCCATGTCTCTGCGAATGACGAACTGAGTCAGGGTTTCGCCACTGCGCATTTCCGTATTCTCCAGCGCTCGCTCGAAGGCCTTCTTGGACTTGTCGTCCTCGGTCTCCTCGAGCCTGCTTCAGGTAGCTTATGAGCACCTCCAGGCCTCCAGGACGGTCCAAGTCCTCTTGGATGTGCATCAGCTTCTCCTGGAGTTCGACTGGAAGCTCATCCACAACTCGACCGGCCTGGGCTTCTGAGGAAAGCGCCGTCCTTCTCGACCACCTCTGAATGCTCAGCACCCACGTGTCGAGCCGGTCGAAGCCCTGCCACTGCTGCGGACCCTGGTTGTCGCCACGATGAAAGCCCCCGGCCGGCGCCGGCAGAGGCGGATGCCAGGAAGCCGCAGCCGACGCCCCGCCCCAGGGCTGCGCCGCCGAGGCCGCGCTCGCCGCCTCGGCCGCTAGAGCCGCCGCGGCCGGCGCAGTGCCTGCGAGCTCCGCCGGCGGTGCCCGTGGCGCCGCTGTCCCGACCGACTGCGCGGGCGGCGCAGCTGGCGCCGGTGCTGCCGGCGGCGCGGGCGGCTCGAACGTCTGGGTAGCCGCCTCCTGCGCCGCGGCCGCCTGTGACCCCGCCGTCGCCCAGGTCGTCGGCGCTCCCCACCGTGGGAGCGGGGGGGCCTGCGGGGCGCTCTCGGCCCACGCTCTCGTCTCCTCGCTGCCTGGCCACAGGGTAACGTACGTACCAGCTGCTGCGCTGGCGGTCGCCCTGCCCTGGGCCCAGGGATCACTATCTTCTCGCTGCCATGGATCTGGTCGGCTCCAGTCCTGCCAGCCTTGCCAGACGTCCCACCAGCCATACCATGAACGGCTCCCTCCGGAGCGACTCCAGTCGTCCCTTGACTGAGATGTCGCCTCGCCGCCGTTCTCAGGCTGTGCTGCCGCCTGGCCGCTCTGCACCTCTTCTGGCATGGGCGTTGGGCCCTCGTCCCCGGGGTGGTGTGGTGCCTGGCCAGCTGCCAGGGGCTCCTCCTCTCTCTCTCCGTCTCGCGCTCCTCCTGCCCGTCCGGGATCACTCTCGGGACCTGCTCCGCTTACCATTGTTCGCCGAGCATCGGAACCACGATGATCGAGTTGGGGGCTAGGAAAGATGTGGGGGAAAGAGAGAAAACGAGGGGAGCACCCTTTTGCTCACTCGCACGCACTTGAGCCACAACAGTTGCGGGCACGGCAACTATAGCAATAGCAGACCGTGCACAATGAGCTCAGAGGGTGACGTGTTGAGGATATGTACGACAGTACGTGTAGCCGCCGTGCCTGGCGGAAGGAGGGAGGAGGGAGGATCGGAGGACGCATGACGGGGGTGCGATAAATGGGGGGCAGCGAGGGCTGCCGAAAAGGCCCTTTGGGGCCCACAAAAAGCCCTTGCGGGCCCTCTCGGGGGCCTTCAGAGCCCGAAAAGACCACCTTTTTTCCCTCCACTCATCGCCCCCCATGAATCCGCGCCCAAGAGGGAGGAGGCGGCGGCGTCAACAGTACCAGGGGCAGGAGCAGGAACGAGGAGGAGCAGGGGCAGCGGGGCAGCGGCTGATCCAGCGGCGGCAG